GGGGAATTCAGTCACACAAATTCAATTGAACAAAATACTTTTTAATGACAGTAAAACAATCAAATCGACCAGGAGAAAACTTGTATTTTTTTAAAACTTCAGACTATTATGTTTCTTTTAAGGAAGCGATTGCCATTCTGCCATTGATATTGTTAGTGAGTGCCACATTGTCTACCCAAATATCAAGGAAGCTCTCTGGAAAAGTAGGAAACCAGGTAATAAAAAGAAAGAAAACTATTTTCACATAACGTTCTAACGTAAGCAATGATCGTGGACAAAATTGTTGACCGAATAGTAACTTAATTGCTCTTTTTGTTTATGGTCTCAAGCGCTCATATCCAACAAGCCGGAGCTGGATTACATTCCAACGCTAAGCAGTGTACACTGCTGGATCTAAATACCTGCTCAAAATAAAGTGATTTCCAAATCCAAAAAGCGTTCTTGGAAGAGTACGATTAAAAATTTATTTGAGAAAAGCATTAACTGTGTTTTTCGGTTCCAGCTGGTCAACAAGCGTTATAGTTAGGCACAGTTTGTTCAATTTTTTGGCTTATGGAACCGAAATTGAAGCGATCGTCGACTGCCAACGTTTAAATAAACTGAACTTTTTGGGCTGTTAATTTACACACAAGTCTAGCCCAAACCACGGTTTTACGCAATCAGTGGGCTTCAGGCTTCCTCTAGAAGATTGATTGAATGAAATTAATATCCTTCCACCGTTATCTTTTGGCCCTCTTTACACTATTCACAAAACTAAATGTTCCGGACAAAAGGTTTAACTACATTCAAAAAAGGCTAAGGTATGGTACAAGTTATGGGCTCGAGTCCCAAACGCATTGAACAAACGTATTGTCCCAAATGTATTGAACAAGCGTTCGGTTCAAGATCCAATTTCTAAAACTTCAAGCTTATCAAGAAGCTTTGTGCACATTCAAATATTTTGCTGTGTGGTAGCAAACGGTGGAAACCAATATCATGGCTGCTCAAAGGAATTTCATAAATAAACTTTTGCAACTAAAGGCCTAGTCAGAGCGAGAAACGTCAAAGGAAAATTTACTAGTCAACTTGAAATTTTGAAGGTAATTGGCTCTTTTTTCTGACGTGGGTATCCTTTTTATAGATCATGAGTTCCTGAACTCATCTGCATTGTTTTTTTCAATACATAGGTAAAACGTCAAAGATACGTACCATCAGATGGTGTCATTTCGTACTTTTATTTATAGCTTTTTTTTAATCGTTACTTAATTTCCGTTGTTCCGGAGAAGCGTTCTCTTCTAGCTAAACACAACCCAGTCCAACTCAGAAACGCTTGATTGGATCTCATTATATAAAAGATAATTCGGCAAGAGAACTGATGTACCGAACTGGGTGAACCAATCAGAGTACTGGAAATGTAATATTTAAAGTCAGAATTTAATGACATACATTTGCTATCTTCTGAAACTCCCCGTCTTGTTTCAGTGGTCGTTCATTGGGGCTGCTCTGACTGTAATTGGATCGTGCTTGTGGTTTATGCGTATTACCCAGTCAACAAGGGCGTTCACTTACCCGGCCGTTGTTCTACTGGGGTTTGGGTCCTCCGCCATGTTTGTTAATGCACTTAGTTTTGCAACCGAACTTATTGGAGAAAACAAAGTAAGTTGGAGGACACTTATTTAGTCTATTCTCCAAATTTTTACTTTATTTGTGACAACTACAGTATACAAATTCAATTGAATTCTATTACTAAGATAAGTAAGACCGCGCTACAAATAGTAAATGAACAAAGATTTTTTACCTTTCTTTTTGTTTAAAACAAATCCATTTTGTTGTATGATTTTCCCTGCAGGCCAGCTCTGGTTTGGTATTCTCTGTCGTAGGTATTATTTCCAACCTGACCTCAGGAACTCTGTATCTCGTCATACAAGTTCTATTTCCTAAAGGAAGGTAAACTTGGACTTCTCACGGTTTTGAGATAAGAATTATTTTTATTACTGCAAGATATAATATGACTTTTTAGCAAAATAGGCTTCCCAGCCTGTTTCATTTTCTTCTTTGTCCTTTGTTTTACTTAAGTTTATTTCTTCCATTTTCTTTCGAATTTTTTTTTGGTTTGGCGTTATACATGTTCTTTTCTTTATTCTTTGTTCTTCTTGTTATTCAACGCTGTTGCTATTGGTCTTTTCTTCTCCTCTCCTCCTTTGCATCCTTCGTCCCTACCAGGCTCTTGACTCCATCCTATCTAACTATAAACTATACCAGCATTTCATGGCGCATAAAATGCGTTCCAAGAGCTTTAAATTTCATGGGATATTCTCGCGAAACAAAAGAAAGTGACTCAAGATAAGTGAAGAGTAAACGAAGTGGGAATTTTTATTGCAAAAAGTAATATTGTGCTTAAGGGCTATGTAGAAGAATTAAGAAAGCGAAATAAATGTTGTTTAAAAAGAGATAAAATGATCGCTTTTTTTCCCTAGTGAGTCTGCCGATTGTCAAGAGTGTGGGAGTTACGTACAAAACGTGTTCTCATTCGTGCCCAGCTCACTGGCTGCTTTTAGCTTGCTGCTTGTTATAATTTTTCAAATTTACAAGACAGTCTGCGGGAAAAAAGGTGAGTATCAGTTTGTTAGCTGACTTAAAGCCGGGTTTGTGTGGGTAGTTATATATGGATGAACTCCACGGAATTATGTAATAAAGGGTCAATTCCTAAAGAGAAGGAAGTAGAATTTTAAAAAAAATTTTGAAATTTGCAA